ACTTGATGAGATGTTTGATTTTGTGTTATGTTTCTAGTTTTGTTTGATTACTTGAAGAGTACTATTAAGACATGTCTGGTTTGATGGTTTCTTGATATGTATCCGACTATGTCCGTACACTTTGTTCATTTACTTGTTTAATTAAAATTGTGTGTTTTGAGGCTAATTATTTAGTGTTTTATTGAATTAGTTGTCAAATTCTCGTTTTTTTAATATATTATATGCCTTGTTATACGCCGTACCCGTGTCCCCTATTTTAGGATTGCCGTTTTCCCGTGTCCGTATCGTGTCCGTGTCCGTATCCGTTTCCGTGCATCCTAGCATGCAAGTATAATTAATGATAATACTTAATCATCCCATATGTTATTATCTCTACACGAGTAATTCAATTTCAACTTCAAAAACTCCACTTATAATTTTCTACTAATATAAGATTTTTATTATGATATTTTGTTACTTTGTAGCAATCTATTGTAGCAATATATAATATCTATGCAAAAAAATAGGGACACTACTAGAATTCGGTCAAATTGTGACCGTTTTTCTATGACCATAATTAAAACGGTCGCAAAATTAGAAATATGTGACCGATTTAAAGGCGGTCGCAATTTTACGACCGTTTTTAAGGCGGTCTCAAGTTTGCGACCGTTTTTAAGGCGGTCTCAAGTTTGCGACCGTTTTTTACTTATTAAACCGTTGAAATGGTATTTGAATAATTTGTTTTTTAAAAAAAAAAACCATGTGAAAAATAATTCAAAATAAAAATTAAAAAATTGCGACCGCCAAAAACGGTCGTAAAATTGCGGCAGCCTCTAAAACGGTTGTAGATTTCTAATTTTGCGACCGTTTTAGCAGTCCTAATTGTTTTTTTTTATTATTTTTTAAAATAGGGTATAAAAGGGATTTCAACTCACACTAACCCTAATTTTTTAACACAGCCGCTCTTCCTTCATTTTCCTTATCTCCTCTATTTCCTTCTCTTCCTTCTCACGTTCCTCACCTCTCTAATTCATTCTCCTCTTTCACTCTCATCTCCTATTTTCTGACTTTCATTGCCGAAAAATTAAACAAAGAAAATTGCTCGTGAATTTTCTCTCCTCTACGCTGCTCATCACCTCACACACACATTACTAAAAATAAAATCAAGAAAAATGCCTCTATGATTTCGGATCTGTAACAACTTGGAGGAATTTTTTTGATTTGTAACCTTATTCTCTTCTCTTTTCTCACGCCTTTTCACCTCCCTCTGTAACTTTTCGAATTTTAGTATAAGGGTTTAACATAGCAAAGCTAGTGATACTACCTGGTTTGAGTTTGCCGAGCCATTTGAGGGCGGGGCCAGGGAGCGTTGCGCCGAAAGATTTGCATATGCATGCTTCCCAGCACTCGAACGGGATTGAAGCTTGCCACATTCGCTACTTGCAGTACTCGACATGCTGCTCGGGACAGGTCGTCCTATCATAGAGCGATGTAAACGTCGAGAGCGACAATCTTCTGTGAATCCGGGCCCTAGACAACTCATCGTTGAATGGCGTCGCTGCGAACCCATCGAGAGCTTCTCTTTGGACAGGAATTGAGACACTTGGCATCCTCTTCATCATCAGCAACACCTTGAAGTTCTGCCTCTCTAAGGCGATCAGTTGCTAGAGCAAGATTTCAGTCTGATTAGGATCACGATTGTTGCCCTGCTGCTCCCCTGGAGTCTGGAAATTCCCTTGCTAATCACTATTCTAGAGCGGAGGATCCATTTGCATTTCCTCGTCGCTGGACTCGGTATCGGTATCATTTGGGGATTCCACTATATCCATAATCGGCATTCTCGGGATCAGGCCCAACCGCCTCGGCCGACGACAACGATTTCTCTGGGCCAACTCCAGCTGCTGACGGAGGTTGGCTGCGTCGGATTTCTATGCCTCTTTTTCTTTGCTCAGACGCTCATTGGATTCCTGAGCCGCGACGAGGTCGGCTTGAGCCCTTTCATAGGCTTCTTTCAACTGCTCTGGGGTCATTTCGCTGGGAGACATAAAAAACCCGCTACATGTTATATTTTATCCTCATACTACCTCCGTTCTTGTATTATTGACTTATTTTAACTTTTACACTACTTACATCTTTTTTTTTTTTTTTTTTAACCATCTTTAGTGATTTATACAGCAACAAATCTTTAATCACAAAATGATTTGAGGTCAGCTAAAATGAATGGTCGTAGTCTTTAGTGAGTTATATGTAAATAAAAACATGTGTGAAATTTTGTTAGAATGGTATTTTTAAAAATTTATTAATACCTAAATTTTATAATTTTTACTTGTAGAAATTTGAAGCTATATTAATAGTTCAAGTTATACATTAGCAAACGTAATAATTGAAACATATCATGTAAAAAAGAACGTAAGAAATATCAAACATAAAATCAAATTATCAACCTAGATATATTTTTGTTTAGAAATTTGGTTAATCTTATATGCTGCAATAATATGCAGTCAAATGAAGTGATCCTGACGAATTCGGTAAATCGTTATGGGCGTCGTTATTGTGAGTATCCAAGACATCGAGATTGGCAATTCGCAGCAGCAGCAGCAATGCTCGCGTTTTTCAACATCAAGTTTATATTTTATATAAACTACTCTGCTTTCTTTGATTATAAGTATAGAACTTCCAAACTGCCCGTCACTGCTATCATCTATATCGTTATTTCCGGGTAATCTTCAGTACTTATTCTATGTTTTGTAATGATCGATTAAGGTCGAAAGTAACAAAATCGTTTGTTTTTAATTTAGTTATCTAAATCTTGGGTTGGTGTCTAATAAATTGAATAGGTTGGCATCATATTCCGGGGTCAGTACACTCGTTTTAGGTGCTGCATTTAGCAGAAACCAAACGAATCAAGATTCGCCGTCTAATTGCAGAGTGTTCAGCAACGGTTTCTACATATCGGGTATCGTTTTGCTGCTTATGGCTTGTGGCTTTGGTATAATGTCTTATGGCTATTTGTCCGGCGATTGCAGGGTGTGGAAATGGGTAAGGCAACGCTGGATCGACCGGATATAAGTAAGAGTGTCCATATCGTATGAAGTTGTAAACACTGTATTTTGATTAATCACTTTGCGAACCATTGCTAGACAATTTAATACGGAGTATATTGTAAACAAACTTCATTTGAACAACTATGTAGCCGGCTGGGCGAGCTTAAACAAACTGGTTTATCCAAGAACATGTTTGTATTTAGTTTAGTCCATTTGTGTATTTAGTTTATAACATGTTGTAATGAATGATTTCCTACCTTCAATTAAGATGCAAAGTATTACTGCATAAGAATGATTGAGTGGTACAAGTGTACAACCAATGCAACCAATAAACTTTTGAAATTTGGTTTATTTCTTTAAAAAACCATTTTCTTAATTTGATACATGATTAATCTATTTCTCCCTTTTTAACCCAAAAAAAAAAAAAACCATTAGACTTTTTTGTGGGATGAATTTTGAGTGGCCACAATAAAATTGTGGTCATTTTATTAAATTAAATCATAGCCCTTCATTTCTATTAACTAACATAACCGTTGATATGGTTTATTTTGTGTTTTATTTATTTTAAAATAAATTCAACAAAAAAAAAATTAAAAAGTTATCACATTCTCATCAGTTTTCTGTTTTAGTTCCTTCTTTGTTTATTAAGTTTTTTTCCTTTACTTCTCTTCAATCGTTTCCTTCTGTTTCCTTTGTTTTGGAATGGATACATATTCCAACGCAAAAGGCAAATAGAAATAGAGGATCCACAATAGCATTGTGACGATTTCGTTATCCCATTGTAAACATGGAACTTGCAAATGCCAATATCTAATTAACTGTTATAGTGTTATTCTTTGAAATCAATTTCCAGACTCCCAACTATTTAGATTGAAATAATAAAGCCATAAAAAGCTAATAAGAAGGAACTAAAAGAGAAGTATAGGGGGAAAATGCAGAATAAATAAAGAAAAAACAGAAACTATCAAACTAATAAGAATTGAACGTGGAGGCGATTGTGTATCAATATGGTGCTTGGTTGAGGGCCTCACCTTTCAAAAAACCTGAAAAAACCTATGCTACCAGGGAAAAAGAGAGAATATTGGGGGAGAAGATGGAAGCTATTCGGCATGGTAACTACATTGAACCTGAGAAGCAAACAATTCGACTGGGGCCTGTAGGTGTTGCGCGCAGGTTGCATTTCTCTAATCAATCGGAGAGTTGTTCTACTGATCGGCCGAAGGAAAGGGAAGCAAGTCTAGCTATGGTGTTCGATCCCCAGACAAACAAACATGTCCTGCGACCGCAACCTCTTCTAGAAGGATCGGGTGAAAGAAGGAAGGTAGTGAACAATGTGGTGGGAGGTTATTGTGATGTTGAAACTGATATGGGGAGGGGATTCAGGGAGGTAGTAGGGAAGATGGTGAATGAGGCAATGCAAATAGAGGAGGCTACGGGGAGGGTAATCTTTATTTTGGAGTGAAGGAGGTCCATGGAGGTACGGAGGCTTTAGTGGGGAGTGGGGGGGCAGCAGTGTGGTAGTGGGGGGGCAGCAGTGTGGTAGTGGGGATTCTGTGAAGGGAGGGAAGGAAAAGGTGGGGGCTTTAAAGGGATGGAAAAGAATTGAGAGGATGGAGGAGAGTTACCAGAGCAACGGGAAGGAGGTGAGAGTTACTAAGATAGAGGAGGTTGGTTCTAAAAAAAGAAGCTTGTCCTTATTAAAGAATGATGAGAAGAGGGTTCGTATTGATGCAAAAGAAAAGAAGATGAAAATGGACGTTCTTACTCAATCTGGGGACAGTTATATCCAAGTAGAGGGAGTTGGACAAACCTAACCCCTTGAATAGAAATGAAAATCTTGAGTTGGAACGTCTATGGGTGTGGCAACCCATGGACGGAGAGGACTCTCCGTGATTTATGTTGGAGAGAGAGGCCAAATATAGTATTTCTTATGGAGACTAAAGTAGATAGTAGTGTGATGGAGAGAATAAAACGTAGGTGCGGTTATGAGAAGGGGATTTGCTTGAGTAGCAATGGTCGTTCGGGTGGAATGTGTTTTTGGTGGCAAGAATTGAATGTTGATCTGATATCCTATTCGGCAAACCATTTTGTAGCAAATGTGTGCAATAGTGAGGGTGTTCCTTGTTGGAGAGCTATGGGCATTTATGGTTGGCCAGAGGCGGAAAACAAATATAAAACTTGGGATTTGATGAGAACACTAGTAGAAAAATACAAAAAGGTACCGCTCAATGGCCATCGATTTTCGAAAACCGGTAGCTTAAAAAATGGGCGGGATTATATATATTTAAATTGCCACCGGTTCAAACAGAACCGGTGGCATAAATGGTAAAGGCCACCGGTTTTAAACCGGTGGCTTTGTTAAAAAAAAACGCGCCTCATCTCTTAATTATATTAGCTTAGCTATTCTTCTCTCTTCTCGTACTCTCTCCTTTGTTTTCTCTCTCTTCTCGATTTCTCCGTCTCCTCTCTCTTCTCTCTGCTCAAACCCTCCTTTCTCTCTCTTCACTTGCCTCCTCTTGCTTCATCTACCGCCGCTCCACTCTTTCTTTCTTTCACTCCTCTCTTGGCAGCACTAATGGGGAATTCGGGATTTGAGGATGACGGCGGTTGTGAATGTTGTGACCACCATCGTAATTGACGGTCTATTTATTTACTGGTGCCAGATCTTTGCAGATGTGGTGGGATTCTTCACGAAGGTATGTGCTCTTCGATTTGAGATCTAGGGTTTCTGATTTTTATTTACTTTTTTTCTCCACTTTTTTGTCTGAAATTTGTTATTACTGTTCAATTTTAAGCTATAATGCTCTTCAATTTTGTGATTGTGGTGTAATATTTGGATTAGCTTATAAATATTGTTATAGCATATTAGTCAGATTTGATAATTTCGTGATTAATTTGCTAGTTTCGTGATTATTTTGCCGGTTTATAGAGTTCTATTGGTTATATGCCGATATGCTTCCGATGTTTGCTTGCATTGTGTATATTTTGCAATTGATGTGTTTTGCAATTACTTCGATAGAATATAACCCGAGTTATTCTGATATAATGCTGCTATTTGATTAATTTGTGATTAATTTTCTAGCTAATGCTAATAGTATAGTAATTGTGATGCTGCTGCTGCTGCTGCTGCATGTCATTGCGTTATTCGCGTAGTGTGAAATTCAACCTTTCATTACTAATATTAAAGATTTTAAGTGTTTTTTGCAGGCTATTACTTCAACTGGAGCAAAGAAAGGTGAACTGTTTTTTGGTGATCTGAGTACTCAGGTGAAAAACATCAATGTCACAGCTGATATCAAAGTGGACACCGGCTCTAATGTGAGTCACAATATTGCTGGAATTTGTTGGATATGATGTTTTGGTTCTTGAAGTATTCTAAGCTGTGATCTATCTTTTTTTGGCTTGAGATTATATTAATTTGGTTTCTTTATATCTCGGAGTATAGTTATTGTTGTTAATTGTACTGTTTTATGAAGAGTGTAATTATGAATGAGTTGTCATGGTGATAAATTAGTTTTTTTTTTTTTTTTTTGTCTAGATTGAGTTGTCGCATCACTAGCTTGAAAGTCAGCGTTGAAGTCTTGACTAAATGATTGTTACTTAGAGGCTTCTTTAGAAAGACTATTGCTATTTGCTGCTTGTCTGTTTCTTTGATTTTTACTCAAGTATTGAGGATGAAAAGTAATAGATAGTTATACTTTTAAAAGTATCTTCAATTCACCATTACAAGTCTTCTATGTTGCCATTGTCCTTTGGAAGGAAGATTTAGTTTATTTTTGAACTTAATTTAGCTTTGTGTGATTCGTGCATACTGTAGCTTAGTTGGGGTTATGTTGTGATGAGGTTGATGAACATGTTCTCTTCACGGCACCAAGGTGATTATGGTGACTGTGGACGCGATTCGCCAGCCCACTCCATTTCTCTATCTCTTCTTGAGTCCTCTGCTTAAATCCGAGAATAAGGTACTTGTATTTTTTTCGAATTTTTTTTTGGTTGCTGAATTGTGTTTTTAGGGTTAGGATCTGGTTCAGATTGGGCTTCAATTTCCTGGAATTCTGATTTGTTTTGGTTTGAATTGATTTGGAATTGATTAGATTGTTGTGTTAATGTGTGACAGACATGTTTCGATTGTAATACCAAGAACCCTACTTGTGTTAATGTATTGATAATCTATAAAAAGAAAATTGTGAATTTGGAATACCCTTGATTTTCAGAATTTTTAACTGGGGTTTATTACAATATTTGTATGATCAACTTCAAATGTCAAGTTTATAAATGTAATAATGTCGTCATGAAATTATGTTGATTTTAGGTACCATCACAAGGAGAGAATGCAACTGATACTTCTCCTCAGGCCGGGCACCAGACCTTCTGACGTCACGGTCCCGGAATTAGGTAGTTGTGAGACTCTTGTGTATTTGTGTACTATGTAAGGCTGTCCCATTGTTCCCTTAAACCCTTATTATAATTTCACATTTGATATAGTGTTCATACATATTGAATTGGCTCGTAAATGCGGAGTACATAATTGATGATTGTATAATTTTGTATAATTTTCTTTTAAATGACAATGCTACATTGATGTATTGTTCATGTGATCTATGGTTTGTTTTGTTTGTAAAAATTTGCTTGGGAGTGTGTTTTTTGCAGTTTTTGAGAAGAAATATTGTGGACATGAACTGCTGGCAACCTGTAATGTGATGGCTTCTTTCTTTCCTTGCTGATAGGCAGATTGAGAGTGGAATTTATTGGTTATTTGATTTGTTTATGTTTCAAATGGTTCATGAGTTATCCTCCTCACCATTGACTGGATTAATGCCAGGTTGTTGCTCAAGTTAAAAGAACTGATATGAACACATTTTATTTCTTTTCTTCATTTCTGGTTCATTTTATATGGTCCCCGTAGTAATTAGTAAGGATGATTGAAGTGAGGGGCCATAACAAAGGAGTGTGGCTTAGTTATTCTAGTGATTGGGAGATTTCTTGATAGTGTTATCTAGAATATTAGAAAATTTATCTGTCAGTACTCTTTATGGTTTTCCGGTTGAATAGGTTTGTTTTGGTAAGGGGAAATAAAAAGCTTAACTCTAATTTTGACCTGTAGAACTACTTGAATATGTTTGTTTTTGGTTGTTATTGCACACCAAGATATGTCGTGTTTCAGTTTCTTGTAGTATAAGGTTGTCTTAAACTCTGTCAAAAAAAAAGGTGGTCTCAAACTCTGTCAAAAAAAGAGCAAGGGAACATCTTCATGCTAATTGATTCAGGCTTTGATAGAATTAGTTAGTCTGTTTACCAGATTTATGTATCTTGATTTCCTTGATTTCTTTTAAAGATTTATTTTATTTTATTGGAATCAACGATTATCATCATCTTAATCACAGGTTCCATTGTTAAAGTTTGAATTGCAGAACATCCTCGCAAGGTTGTTGATGCTGCCTCGCAAGGCTAGGCTGCTGCTGCAGCTGCTGCCTCACAAGGATAATGGCAGACCCTTTGTTTCCGCATAAGCTTCTGTTCGAGCAGTTTGTCACTATATCTTGTTCTGTTCGGTCTGAACTGAAAAATCGGAAGGGCGGGTATATTAGTGATTGACTCTTTCATAAGTTCCATTCCCTTTGATGTAACAATCTCATTACTTACAATGTCAATCATCAAACAACTGTCTGACCAAAGTTTTTGTGTTTGTTTGTAACAGAATAAAGGAGGAATGGGATTTAGCACTTATAAAAGTACTCACAGTAGTAGCATGCACGCTCCTTGCTGCTCATATGCCAATACCTTCAGCTCTGATCTACATAACAGACTGCAGAAGCTCCCAAACAACATATTTGAATCAAGTTATCGTTATAGAGAATTTGATCTTCAGAAAAGAGTTCTGTCTTTTTTATGCAAGGCTGTACAATTTAGTTTAGTAGGATTTACAGCAGGGGCACTTCAGAGCGCCTTGTTCATGTTCATGGCGTTGTTCTGCTACTGTGTAGCCTCTTTGTTTGTAACCTTGTATTTTATTTTATTTTTTTTGGACAAAAATTGTAATACTACATCATTTTTTTATAAAAATATGTAAGTTTATGTATATGTTAGTGTTTATATATCAATTTAAGTGAAAAAAATGCAAAAAAAAAAAAGTTATTATTTTTTTGCCATTATTGGCACCGGTTTTGAACAGGAACCGGTGCCAATAACCCTTACCAAAAAAAGCGTCAAGGGTTATTGCCACCGGTTAACCGGTGGCAATACTAGTTTTTGCCACCGGTCTTGAACCGGTGGCTTTGCATCAGACTATTGCCACCCCCCAAATGCCCACCGGTTCAAAACCGGTGGCATAGGGGGGTTTTGAACTGGTGGCCAAATGCTTTTTTCTACTAGTGGAAATCTCAAAAATTCCTGTAATATCCCTTATATCATGTTTGGTGATTTTAATGAAATAGCTAGTATGTCTGAGAAGGACGGTGGAACTGTTCGGAGAGAGAGTTTAATGGATGCGTTCCGTAATGCTATTGATGATTGTGAGTTGCGTGATCTGGGGTATAAAGGGTGCACCTTCACTTGGCAGCGGGGGAAACATGTTGACACAGTGGTGAGGGAAAGACTTGACAGGTTCTTGGGAGATGATGGTTGGTGTGCTTTGTTCCCGGATTTCTCAGTTCAACACTTGGCTAAAGTTGCATCGGATCACACTCCAATTTTGCTTTGATACTATTAATTACTATGAGAGAGGGAGGAAAAGTAAATTATTTCGGTTCGAGGCTATGTGGTTATCGAAGGAGGAGTGTGTGGAGGTGGTCTCGCAATCTTGGAAGGACGGAGAGGGGAGTGCACCGCATCACAGAATTGCCTTGTGTGCGGAACACCTTACCAGATGGGCAGCGAAGTTCTTCGGCGACATTAAAAGAAAAATCAGAAAATGCGAGGTGGAGTTACAGGAAGCGCAAGGTTCCCATATGGATGCTGCTATGCTCGAAAAATGTGAGTCTTTGGCGAATGAAATTAACGAGCTTAGGAGATTAGAGGAGTCATATTGGTACGCAAGGTCAAGGGCTAATGAGATGCGAGATGGTGATAAAAATACATCCTATTTCCATAGAAAGGCGAGTCAGAGAAAGAAGAAAAACCGTATCGATGGTTTATTTGATGTACATGGAGACTGGAGAACTGATGAGAGCCGAATTAAAAGCATTGTGTCGGAGTACTTTGGCTCGTTATTTTCCACAGATGACCCCACTGACTTTGACGCTGCTTTGGAGGGCGTGAAGAAGGTTGTCTCTGACGATATGAATATGGTGTTGGACGAAATTCCGAGCTCGGAGGAAATAAAAAATGCTTTATTCCATATGCATCCAAATAAAGCCCCAGGTACGGATGGTATGCATGCACTATTTTTTCAAAAATTTTGGCATATTATCGGTCCTGATATTGTTACTCTGGTGAAAAATTGGTGGAAGGGTTTAGTTGATATTTCGGAGATTAATCGGACTTGTGTTGTGTTGATTCCTAAATGTAATGATCCGAAATACATGACTGAATTTAGACCAATTAGCTGTTGCAATGTGATTTATAAGATAATTTCGAAGACAATGGCGAATAAACTTAAACCTTTCATTAATGATATCATCTCTGTCAATCAAAGTGCTTTCATTCCAGGGCGTCTAATCACTGATAATGCCATGATTGCCTTTGAGATTTTCCACTGTATGAAACGAGGGGGTGAAGGGAGACATGGTACGGTGGCTCTAAAGCTTGATATGAGCAAGGCCTATGACAGAGTTGAATGGAGTTTCTTGAAGATGGTAATGGGTAAAATGGGTTTCTCGGAGCTATGGATTCGACGTATTATGGAGTGTATCTCTAGTGTGTCTTTCTCTTTCAAAGTGAATGATGAGATTTTTGGATATGTTGTTCCGACTCGTGGCCTCAGACAAGGTGATCCTATCTCACCTTATTTATTTCTTTTGTGTGCGGATGCTTTTTCATGTCTCCTTTCTAAAGCCGCTCATGAAAAGAAATTAAGTGGGGCCAGGATTTGTAGAGCTGCTCCTAGAGTGTCTCACTTATTTTTTGCCGATGATAGTATTTTGTTTGCAAAAGCTACTCTGCAGGAATGCTCGAAAATTGCAGATATAATCATGGTATATGAGAGAGCATCTGGTCAGAAAGTTAATCTTGATAAGACAGAGGTTGCTTTTAGTAAATGTGTGAATGTTGATAGAAGGCAAGAGATTGTGGATACGCTAGGGGTTCGGGAGGTGGAAAGGCATGAGAAGTACTTGGGATTGCCGACTATCATTGGTAAATCGAAAAAGGCTATCTTTACGTTTTTGAAGGAGATACACTAGAAAAAGTTGAATGGGTGGAAAGAAAAATTGTTGTCGAAGCCGGGGAAGGAGGTATTAATTAAAGCGGTTGCTCAAGCCATTCCTACCTATATGATGAGCATTTTTAAAATTCCGGAGGGCCTTATTGATGAAATTCATAGTTTGTTATGCCGGTTTTGGTGGGGATCATCGGTGGACCATAGAAAGATGTATTGGCAAAGGTGGGAGAGATTGTGTTTACCGAAGGCAAACCGAAGGCAAAAGGGGGATTGGGGTTTAGGGACCTCAAGTGTTTTAATCAGGCTCTATTGGCCAAGCAAATCTGGGAGGTTACAATCGAATCAAAATTCCCTTATTTCTAAAATTCTTAAGGCCCGATACTTTAAGAATTCTTCGGTGATGGAGGCTTTGAGGGGACATGACCCAAGTTACTCGTGGAGGAGTATTTGGGGGGCCAAGGGTCTTCTACGTGATGGTCTGGTATGGAGAGTTGGAAATGGTAGTAATATCAGAGCATGGAAAGACGCATGGGTAATTAAGGATGGTAGGCCATTTGTTCTTAATAGGCCTACTTGGATTGAGGAGGATATGACTGTGCGCGACTTTATGATGGAGGGGGTGGTTGCGTGGAATGCTAATAAAGTACGGGGCTTGGTGGACTCAGAAACTGCAGCTGCAATACTTGCTATTCCTTTGCCCGTTCATATGAAAGCTGATAGTATGTACTGGTGTTACACAAAAAATGATATATATACTGTCAGGTCTGCATATTGGCTAGCTCGAAGCGTGAACGATGATGTTGGTGTGAGCAACAATTCAGATGACCTCTGGAGATCGGTGTGGAAGATATCTGGCCCTCCAAAGCTTAAGCATTTCGTGTGGAGTGCTGTAAAGGGCAATCTAGCGGTCAAGGATAGATTGGTACAACGTCATGTGGCAGGTGATGCATCGTGCCAAATTTGTGGTGAGCAAAGGGAAACGATCTTTCACTCTCCTTTTCACTGTACTGCTGCTCGTGAAATTTGGGCTCATAGTGGACTGTTGGATCAGCTAAGAGACGCACCACAGGAGTCTTTCTACGCTTGTTGGAGTTGGTTGTGCAGCAAGGTAAATGGATCTGTGCTGAAACGGATGGCTGCCTTGATGTGGGCAGCTTGGAGATGTCGAAATCTGATCATTTTTTAGAATGAAACACCTAATTTTGTTCTCCTTGCTGCTGGTTTTTGCAAATTGGTGTGTGATCATGATGATTATGCAAAACGTGTCTTTCATCCTGCTGCCCAGCCAACTATCAGCAGTAGCATTACTTGGCTATGCCCGCCACTAGGCTGTATTAAAGCTAACGTCGACGCACATGTTCCAGAGGATGGTTATGCTGGGATTGGTGTTGTCTTCAGAGATGCTAGTGGTCAGATCCTGCTAACAGCAACCAAGAAAATTGAGTCCTCTGTCCCAGAATGCATAGAAGCACAAGCTGTAAGATATGCTCTCCTTCTCGCAAAGAGGTTTGATTTTAGAAATGTTTGGGTGGAGTCGGACACAATCAATGTGATCAAGGCTGTTTCGTCTAGGGGCTCGGGTCTTTCCCCTATACATGTTATCTATGACGATATTAGTTTAGATAGAGCTTGGTTTAATGTATGTTTATTTTCTCATGCGAAGAGAAGTTGTAATACCGTTGCACACTTAGTGGCGAGGTGTGAAACGGGTGATAATGCTGAACTTGTTCGTCTTTGTTCCTTTCCCCAAAGCATCATTACTTTGGCGGAATTGGATCTCTCTTCGTAATTAATATATGCTCTATCTTTCTTTCAAAAACAAAAAAAGAATTGAACGTGGTTTTTTTTTTTTAAATCCTTTTTTTGTCAAATTTTTTAAAAAATATATCAACGGTTCACATTAGTCAATAAAAATAAACGGTTGTGATTTGATTTAATACAATAGCCACAATTTTATAGTAGGCATTTCAAAACTGTCCTTTTTTGTGGCTTTGATATGTGCCAAGTCAACAATGTAAAGATATGTTCTTAAATAAATCAAATGATTATTATACAATTCAATATTTTTACACATTACAATCACAAATTATGCAATTCCACTCTAGATTTTTTTTTTTACATAATAAACAAATACAACAAACCTAGGTCCCTAGTCTTGCCTTCACACCCAGATACAAAATTTTTTAATTTAGAAGCACCTTTAATCTATATTATTAGAAATTTAGAACATGATCTCAAACTCCACAAAGAAAATACGTTACTAATTTTTCAAACAGCATATTGCACCGGTCTTGGCTTGGGGTTCGAGTTTGTAGAGGCGGTATCAAACTGAGGATTACCCATAGCAATGCCGCCCCCTTGAGGTGGAACCGTTGCTGGTACTTGTTCACGACGTTGCTTTGTTGACGCACAAAAGGAGCATAGGCCAAAAATACATGCCACAAGTGCCAAACCGCCACCGGAGGCAAACACACCCGGTTTTACATAGTAGCATAATCCGGTTGAACTGAGATACTCTTGACGAGTGCTCAGATTAGCAGCTGCTACTAGGATACCAATTCCTACGATAGAAGCAATACTGTACGTAACAAATGAACAAATGAATTAATTAGAGAAAGTTTTTATTATATATATAAGGCTATTAAAAAATGTGATATGGTATTATTCAATTGAAATATCTAAAATACCCTTCATCTTTTACATTTTAAAAATGGCTGGTTTATGTATTTCAGACATTTA